CTTCCGCCAGCCCTGCGACCCGGGTGCGGCGAAGGAGTCACGCCCGATTCGCTCCGCGATCGACGGCCGCTCGAGGACGCCGTGCACCGTCACTGTGCCCGTCGCGTCGTGCTGATTGAGGAAGGAGGTCACTGCGCGTGCCGCCGACGCGACGATGGCGGCCGAGCGCGTCTCGAAGAGCGAGGGTAAGCCGAGGCCGGCCAGGCGCGTCGGTAGGTAGAGGCGCTTGTGCGCCAGCCAGTCGGTGGTCGGGTCGCAGCCAAGCGCCACAGACGCCTGCTTTAGTATGGCGTTGTCCACGCCAAGGCAGAAGTCGATGTTCTCGTCGGGGAAGCAGTGCTGAGCCAGTAGCCACCCACCCTTGTGTGTCGTCGAGTTGACTGTGATCGCCCACAGCGCCTGTTTGTGCTTCAGACCAAGCAGAGAGTTGAGTTTCTGAGAGGTGCCGGTGATCTGATTGCACTTGGAGGCGAGGGTGAGGGCGACGAACTCTACCGAGCCGAGCGGGATGCCGTATATTTTGATGCCGAGGGCGATGGAGCCGTCGGCAGAGCACGTGAAGCCGAGGGGCACGCCGTACATGACGCGGACGCGATCAAGCTCAGCGGCATGGTCGGGGGAGATGTTGCTAGCCGCTAATATATATAAAACCCCATCGCTTCCCAGCGATACGTCACCGCTGGGATCACCAATGGACTCGCTTGCTCGCGCACTGTCGGGCGGCCCCGCGTTGCGCAGCGACTCCAGCGCTTTGTTTTTGGCTTCCTCCTCATCCACCACTTCTACCAGCTCCCCACTTTGGCGTAGCGCGTAGGAGCCTGCGTCGGAGCGCTAAGATCAGCCTGACTTGAACTTGAAACGGACCGCCAGCCCGAAACCCCCTTCATTAATAGCAGATCATCTCCCTAAACGCCCTTGCCTGGGCACACTACCGGAGATCCATCGGCACGCGCGGTGGCGCCCAAGCCAGTGCAGCCGACTAAGGCACGCAGCAGGCAATGGGCGACGCAGCGCTCAGACCAGCACAACATTCAGAACAGTCAGACGCCAGCTTGAATCCCTATCATAAATATAGCTAAGAGGGCTTATTAATCTATTTTTTCCGCTTCGAGACCCTTCATCGTCGTTCACTCCGGGGCACCGGGAGAAGGCCCGGGAAGCCGTTGCACGCCACATAGGCGAGCCGTGTGCCCTTCTCCTCCGACGACCCGCCTCATTGCCCCACGTCCCAGGCGAATAAGGGCGCGACGGGCGCACCTGCGCGCCTCAAAGGCGACACGGTGTACTCGGAGAGCCCCTCCAAGCACAAGGGCCACCTACAATCCAGCGGCTCCATCTCCGGGCGCGGCGAGGCTGAGATTCGAGTCCCCGCGCCGTAGACAGCCAGATTCTCTATTTTTTTTGAAAAAAATCTCCATTTTTTGTATGTATGTATTTATTTCTGCGAGCACTCACTTTTTATTCTAAGTGGGCGCTTGTCAGCTAGCCAAACGTGTTCCGGAGGTGGCGACTGGGCAGTAACTTTTCAGCTGGCAGGGACGCCGGGAAGGCCTCCAAGTTACGTAGTATGTGTGCCCAATGTTAACAACGTTTTGGTGCGGGGAGTTACAATCGCGGGCAATAATAAGAAACCGTGGCCCCTGTTAAGAAACCATGGCCGCGACCGCTGCCGTACTCCCGTTGCCGCGGCCACTGCGGGGCCTGACTTGCCTCGTCCCGGAAATATAAGTAATTTAGGTTCGAAATAATAGATCAATGAAGGGCGAGGTTTTACAGCCCTGCCCAAGAGACAGGGTGTCGCGGGCAATAAGAAGCCGTAGTGTTAAGAAGCTGAGCCTCATTTTTTTGTATTGTTCGTATGTAATTTAAGCATATTTAAGCATTGTTTGTATGTAATTTGCTAAAAAGCAGCCTCAAGCTCAAAATTCGCCCTTCTTATTGCCCGCGATCCCTTGTAGATGTCCTTTTTTTTATTTTGTCCCACAGATATTTCGAGGCATGATTAACGAGGATGTTGGCCAAATGCCCGTTCACATGGTTTAAGCTGGCTAGATCCACAAATGCATGCGCATCATTATTCTCCACGTGCGTTTTTTCATTCGTGGACCTAGCCAGCTTAAACCATTTGAACGGGCATTTGTCCAAGACCCTAGTTAATTTCTTTTCGAAATATCTGTGGGCCCGAATTGAAAAAGTGGACATCTATCTTTGGCAGGGCTATAAATGGTTGGCGGTGTAACTTCAAATTCAAGTGAAGCTGATGGTCGCCTTTACTATCACATTTTTTTAATATGTAATAACGTTCTTTAAACAAAATACGCCGTGGCTGAATATATTTCGTAGCTGTAAGTGTGCGGACTCCTGCAACTGCGCCCCCCGAGGGGGGCGCTGCCTGGCTCGCCACCATGATGTTGCTCTTCGCCACCATGCTATTGCTTCTGTCACGTGCTGTGACGGGCGCTGTTTCGCGCGGTGGCGAGCAGCACGCGGAGACGCCGCTCAAGGCTACCAAGGCTACGACGACGATGCTGCTTCCTGCGGCCACCGCAG